GTGCCCCAAAGTTTCGATTTGTTTCAAAATAAATCCAAACATAACCTCTGTTTTCTTTTATTCATACTATTTTTTTTTGTCAACCAAATTATTACTTAAAATATGCCACCACAGTTGGACATCCAACTTGGAGGAATGTTACTTACAAATGAGAAATTAAAAGATAGAGAAAATTGGGGAATATAATTTTGCAAATCCCTGAGCTTAGCTGATAGAATCGAAAACGCAGGCCATTCCTCTGGAGATCAGACGATATCCACCAGATCAGAGCAATCTGTCTCGAACTCGTGGCACTTCATCTCTCTCTCAAGCATAGAGGACATCGTCCAAATAAGAGCTTCTACCTCCAAGTGTAGCGGGGATCTCCGATGGCTAATTCCTTTTGCACCTAGAAGTACAGGGTGTTCCCCTTGAAAGCAACACCAGCCCAGCCCTGAGGTAGAATCTGACTCCTTCCATGAACCATCCACCTGACACCGAACATGAGTACGTGGTCTAACCACCACCTGTGTTTCCTCCCCTATATTGTTTCCAACCTCCTATAGTGACAGCTGAGCTTTCCGTCCAAGCACGAAATTCACTTTCTGCCAAATGTACAGTGTCCGAGGATTCACCATCGATCCCTTGAAAACATCTTTTATTACGTGATTTCCAAATATACCACATAATCCATGGGAATATTGTACACTCCACAATAAGCGTATCCTCTCTCGTGATCCTCCAAAAAAGAAAGTCCATATTTGCGTAAATTGATGAGCAAGGGAATAAACCCTTTCTCGAGGGGATAAGAATAATGCCAGGTTTTCCTGCTAATTTAGTAATATCCTGATTGTCTCTCCTTGTTTTTTTACCACTTTTCATACTGTGCCACAAACTTTTAAACTTGTCAAAATGAACCCCAAACAAATGCATGATTGTTTCTCATTGCGGCATATGATCAATACTCTTACCAATCATATGATAGTCCACACGACATGTAGTTTAATCGCCTGTTCCATTAGGTTGGGAGGCCGACCTTGTTAAGATAATAATATTAAATTAGTAAATTTATTTTTAA